ACGCAGACACGAAGTGGCGGCAGCGGCTGAGAGACGAGCCGCCGAGGCAAGGATACTAGCAGAACAAGAGCGGCAAGCAGAGCGGGCGAGGAAGGAGGAAGAGGCATGCAGAGAGGAGGAGAGGAGGAAAGCTATAGAAGAAAAAAGGCGACAGGAACAAGAAGGAATTTCAAGACGTCAACAAGAAACTGAAACGGCTGCTCTCGCTGCTCGAATGCAGGCAGCTGCGCGTCTCTCGCCATCCCCAGCGACGCCGGGTCCGTCGCAACGGGCAACAAATCGGCTGAATGAGGAGGTGTTATCGCGTTCTGTTCCGCGCGGATTCCCTGTAGCCGCACCTCAGCCATCGCATGCGTCAAGCTCGTCCCAGCGACAGTCGCTATATGGCCCCAGCAATGGTTCGTCGACTATGCCACTAGAGAGCCCTTTACGGAACGACGACGACTCGTCAACAGATGTTGAGGGCATAGATCGACAACACTCCTGGCGGCGCAACAAGAATAACGACCAGACACCGACCAAAGCAAAGCATTATTCGTCCGGGTGCGTTTCAGCTTCGATATCCTATCGCCAAGCTGACTATTCGATCAGTATTATATACCCCCCACCTATTACTACAACTTCTCCACCTCCACCCGAGTTGGGCGTCGTCCGTTACCCTAACCTCATGTCACAACATCAATTGAAGCAAGGTTATGTACCCTCTCTACAGTCAATGTTCTCAAAGCCATCTGCGGAGCCTCGCGCTACTGACGCCTCCCTATTATTTGATTCCAAACCATCAGGTCAATTATATTCCAACATTCTCCCTAATCCGTCTGTTTCTACTTCAAATCCGGTCATACCTCCGTATCCAAATCAATCTCATAGTCGTCAGAACCCCATCTCTTATCCGCATACCGGTCGCCGAGGACCGTCACCTTCTGGCGCCCGACCTGTAGTACCTTCTGCTAGTGTATCCGCGCCGCGAATTGTTCCTAGTACATCTACCGACTCTGTGCGCGACTTGAAGACGATCAGGCTTCCTCGGGAGTGCCTTCCCCGCTTCCTATCTATTGCTCGCATCAACACGTCGCAAAACAGAGAGACTTGCGGCCTGCTACTCGGCAAAGATAAGGGAAACAAGTTTGTCGTTACTACCTTGCTCATTCCAAAACAACGTTCCACGAGTGATACATGTACGATGGACGAGGAAGAGCTTGTCTTGCAATTCACGGAAGAACGTCACTTGATTACGCTTGGATGGGTTAGTGATCTGATCGATCCGCCTGTCGACGTTGTTGCTGACTTGCCTCCTATCAGATCCATACACACCCCACACAATCTTGTATGTAGGGTTTTCCGTTGGACACCATGGTTTTGTTGATATCGGCTCTGACACGATGACAGGTTTCATGTCGTCGGTCGACTTACACACGCATTCAGGATTCCAACGTATGCTGCCCGAATCATTCGCAGTTGTCTGTGCCCCCACATCGACGCCAACGTGAGTACTCCACTTATTTTGATATGGTTGTACTGACGTTCATTAAGATTTGGAATATTCCGGCTGACGGACCCTGGTGGCCTGCAAACCATCTTAGACTGTACTACCAAGGAAGCGTTCCATCCTCATCCGGAAGTCCCCATATACACTGTTCGTATTATTTCTTTTTACTAGGTGGAGGTCTACAACTGACCTTGAATGAACTATACAGGATTGCGATAATAGCCATGTACAGATGAAGGATATGCCACTTGAGATTGTGGACTTGCGCTAGATCTGTAGTTGTTTTTGATTATCAGTTCTCTGTACCACTTTATTATCTGTATTAGCCATATCCAGATTCTGGAATTATTTCAGCACTGTATACTACAGGGGCTGCTGTTTTTGTTATACTTTTGTCGAGTCGTAGTATGTCAGATGTACTGAGGTGAGGCCGGAAGGGCCTCCAGAATTACCCGTCTTCCTGAGAAAGACTTACCACCGATGCTGGCATAGAGAAAGGCAAGAATAAGCGACTCAACTGCAAGCACCCATACACTTGGCAAGACACCCAACATGGTCGAAATTGTTTGACAATACCTAACTTACATGACTCCCAGTAAACGTACAGACGACGAGGTACAAACGATAGCTGACAACGACAGCAATTGCATGGGAAACAGAGCGGAAGAGCGGACTGCGACCCCAGGGACAAGAACGCGAGACAATGGTAAGAACACAAGATAACTGAAAACGATAATCTTGTCCTCCACCTGCTTCATCACTCACTGCAATCTCTGGATGACGCACTTGTTAATATCATCCTCCAACAGTCTCTAATAAGGGTAGTCGTAACGATCAGCTACCTAGAGGTATGAAATCGAAAGAAGGAGCATACGCAGCAATACTCTGACCCCCCTCGATCCTCGATGGACAAAAACTTAAGTTTCTTAATTGCATTCCTGCCCTTCTCGTCATTGGGGGGGACGCAAAAGTGGGCGTAATCGAGACGATCTGCCCACTGGACTCCAGCATACTCAATGTTGCCTACCTCCGAGTGTTTCCCCTCACCGTCGAATATGTCAAACCAGTCCTTCGTTGTATACCCCACATCTTTCATCTTCAGCAGGTAAGCGTCCTCTTTTTCCTGCGTCTCAAAAATTCCCGTTCTGGCTCCTCCGCTGTCCCACATAGGAATTGCCCCAACGCTCTCCAATGTTCAGCAGGATATTTGCGAATGCGGGCGATACCCGAGCCATATTGACGATCTTGTTTATAACGTGAGGGAAATTCACCGAATTCGCAATCTCCACAAGAGCTATTACCGCTTCGTTTGGTGTGTTCGATGAAGAGACGGTCAAGTAACCATCGGGCACTGCCATAAACTTAGGTGTACTTGTCTCAACGGTGTCTGTAGTATTCAAGCTGATCTCGATTCTGTAGTTTTTGAGATCTGCTCGAGGAAGGCATCATGAAAAAGGTTTCGAAGGGGATTGAGCGGTCGGTCGTGGACTGGACTGGGCATCTTGAGGAGAGTACACTCGATGGTGTCCCAGAAGTAGCTGAAAATTGACACAAGGCATGCGTAAAAATCGTACCACGAGATAAGAATCTCTTTTTACCTAAACTTAGGATAGGAAGCCTAATAGTGTAATGACTCGACCCAACTTATGAACGCCTCATAATGGTTCCTGGTTACGTTTGTGAAGAACTGTTCCCCTACAATGTCATTGTAGAATATGCTTACCTTGGCACTCGGTGGATTCAAAGAGAAGAAGTAGCCGTCCCCAAAATAACTTCGAATAACCGCTTCAGAAGTCTCCAGGCAAACTCGCAGTAAGACCCTCATCGCCTGAGATAGACAGGCCTTCAACTGCAGGCAAACTCGCAGACATAGAGGCAGCAAGTTCTACGCTGGGACACCTCTCTCTTGCCTTATCCTCAGGGGTGTAGCCATGCATAGTGATCTGGTAGGTAGGGAATCTTTCGGGGCTTGCCTCTTCATAGGTAGGAATGTGATTCTTCTGGTACCGTCTACCACCAGCATTTACGAGAGTAATATCAGAGTGACACTTCAACGCACGAGGCTGACGTATCGAGATGACCACATGAGGAGGAGGTGCGGACAGACTCGGCCAAAATTTGACGGACGTCAGATGCCTCCTGTGGACATAAGTGGCCTTGTCGACCAGAGCATCGATCACTGTGCGGACAGGGCTGGTCCCAGTTCTGAGTTGAGCATCCCATCTCGCCATGCACGGCATTTACCTCGGCCAGTTACCTTTGAGTACAGTAGTTCTCCTTTGAACATTGACGCTGTGGGACGCATCTCGAAATTGGGAGTGAAATATGCCAATATATCAACGCGGCATCCTATTTTTCATGCCCAAGATTGAAATCGGCGAGTCCTTATAGTACAGGGCTCTCCGTGACTGTCCGCAAGATGCTCACATAACTGGCATCTAAGCAAATAATCAGGAGCTGTGGGACCTGCCAAGCAAGATGTTTCATATGGCAGATTTTCTTGAAATTTGATGCATCTTCTTGGGGAGAACTTCAACATTCAAGGACTAGGGAGGCTCGGATGTCGCAGCACCACCTCTGCTGACCTTTCAGGATCCGGCGCCAACATTCAACTTCACCGCTAACAATTTCCGCTGGGGTTCTACAGCTCTTCTTACCAGTCTTTCCTTACAGATGCCTTGAATTCGGTTTTGTACTGCGTTTGGTACGATTAATACGTGTTTTCCACTCTAGCAAAGAGAATAAGCACGTAGAGTCCCTGGTTAACACCACTCTGACTCTGATATACACAAGATGTACATCGGGCGAGTCTTGGAGTCGCAGCATGAGTTTGCTATTTCATCACTGCAGACCAGATTATGTGCACTACGGGTGATCCTCTGAGTCAATCTTGTGCGTGGCCGGTCATGGCTATAAGCGACTGGGCAAGTCAACCTCTGCTGCCTGAGACCACCGAAACAGATTGTTGTTTCTGTTACGCCTTTTGTCGGAATCAAGGTGCCCTATGACTTCATACATTTCATCATATTACGTACTAGCGTTCGTCCTCAAGAGTTACCAACGGATGCGTGTCGACGGGTAGCGTTCACCATATTTAGAAGTCTTTTACTGGACACTCGGGTACTTGGTCTCGTGCCCAGTCTTCGACACGTCTGGGTACGAGACCACGGGTACTAATCACTGGCAGAAGCGCCCACTTGCCACTGGTATCACAAGATGCCTTTCAGCGAGGCTGAGGTTGAAGAAGAGAGAGCACATTTTGCAAATGTCGTATCGACATTCCAGCAGTATGCTGCATATTCGGTGAGGACCATGCCGTGTTCATACTGAAATCTTTTGTGAACTTATATGACATGACCTGGTCAGTTATCCGCCAATAACAGGCGGAGAAAGGATTTTTTCTCTCTTCCGAGAGCTGACCAAGAACTTTTGGAAAACTTAGGCTACAAAGAAAAGCTGGCAGCAGTTGACCATGCTATTCTGGCTAATGCAGAGTTCCTCAGCCTCATTGTCGCCGATCCTGAGATATTCGGGCATGACGTTGAGAATGACCATTCTCCGGATGACAGCAAATCTCATTCGCTTCAGCCGCATCAGGGAATGCCAACGTCGCATGGTATGCTTGTATAAAGTCTATCTGGAGAGGTCTCATGTAGCAGTATATCTTGCAGAGTACACGCGTGCGCATTCACATTCGCATGCCCATGGTGCACATAGTCATTCGCACAACAACACTCAACCCCCACATCCCATGATTGACGCAGACGTGGATCAGCGCAAACGTAAGCGATATCGGCCGACCGATTTCGATATGGACAAGTTGCGCAGTTCATTAAAGCAATTCGTTCGTGATTGGAGCGAAGAGGTTCTTAATTCCCAGATTTATATATTGATTGATGAGTGATGTGTTGCTTGTAGGGTCGTGCAGAACGAGAAATCTGCTATGCACCGATGAGAGAGGCCCTTCTGAACCATTTCTCGGACATTCCTGAAGAGGAACGGCAAGTCCCCTCACCATATTCTTTTGTGAGGCTGGTATTCTATCGCTTTGTTTTATTATCAGAACAAATTTCCGGGTGCTCGTGCCAGGAGCGGGTCTCGGGAGGTTAGCGTGGGATGTAGCAAAATTGGGTAGGGCTCTCCAATCATTAGGTTTACACATGCGTAAGCGTAACCGAGGACTACTTCAGGATTTTCCTGTCAGGGAAACGAGTTCTCGCACTACATGCTTCTTGCATCCTATTTCGTTCTGAATAGGTAACTAGGAAAAGAACTTTTGCTGACGAGGATCCTCATTTCACAAAATTCGCAGAACTGACGAGATAGAAAGTCATACTCTATATCCCTATGTCCATTCGTTTTCCAACCTCCCCAATAACACTGCCATGCTACGTCCTATCCGCATACCGGATGTTCTTCCATCGTCTCTGCCTCCTGGTAGTAATTTTTCTCTGGTAGCTGGTATGAGTCGCCATCTCTCACCTGCTGCACCTGTCTGAAAAGATGACATTGCTTGAAGGTGACTTTGAAGAAATCTACGGAGCAGAAGATAACGAGGGTGAACCCCCGGCGGGGGAGTGGGATGCAGTCCTGACGTGCTTTTTCATCGATACTGTACGTGCAACAGATATTTCTGTTGACATTGACTAGACTGTTTACAGGCAAAAAATATCGTGAATTACCTACGTATCATTCACCGCATCCTAGCACCAGGTGGAGTCTGGATAAATCTCGGTAAGCATATTGTGACCAATCCCTTAGTAACTACCCTGGCTCACCCACTTCACTCTCAGGTCCCCTTCTCTGGCACTTTGAAAACAACTCAACAAATGATCCATCTATCGAGCTCAACTTAGAGGAAATCAAGACCTTGGCGCGCAAGATTGGTTTTGAAATTTCGGTGAGCTTGGAAACCTCAAGATGATCTTTAGCATCTCGTTCATACGACTCCCCTTGACAGAACGAGCGAATAGTTGACACGACATACACAAACAATGCACAGAGCATGCTGGGCTACATATATCATGCGGGTTTTTGGACGGCTACAAAAGTTGTATGAGAGCTATCAACCTGTAAGAATCCAGAACCTTGGTCGCCACACCGTCGGATGTTGAATCGATGGGCGAGTTACTGCTGAGGCAGAATCACCGCGAAATTCAAACAATTAGACATTACTAAGAGTATACGGCCGTAAGCATATCAGACCTAGAAGCACCATTGAACGAAATAAATGCATGCGTAATGTAGATGCAAGAAAGCATATCATAGGAGTGTAAAACTCATCGACTCCCGATCGTCCGCCACAAGCCTAGCGTACTCTAGGCCAAGCCGATAAACGTACGCTAGATACTGATCGGTTAGTGGGCTTAAACTTCCACTTGTGCACATACCTTCCATATCTACACGTCGGCCGATGGTGCGCTTCCACTGTTTCCCGGCACGAGCAATGCGACGTAACCGCCTATCCCCATCGATACTCCGTCTCTCTGAAAGGGGGAGCTGTAGTGCTGTCGAATTAGCAGCCTGAAGCGTAGCTTGTGTCGCGCCGGAAAAGAAAGCGTGTATGTTGTAGAGCTCCTGGTATGATTGAGACAGAGGTATATAGTGCAGCCTTGGAAAAAGTTTGAATGTAGACAAATCATCGCGATGAAATCGCTTACCATGGCTGAATCCAATCACTGAAAAACTCTCGATATACGGTAGACTTAATCACGGCGCTGTCTGATTCCATGAAAGAGAAGAAACGACCTGAGTAACCCATGCCATCTACATCTACCAAATACTTATGTCTCCAGTGATCACCCAGATTCACGCCGCTGTCGTCAACGCGATGCGCGCTGATAAGCGCGTCGAGCCCTCCAGGAAAGTTATACCAATCGACTACCTTGATGAAGGCAGCATCCATGACTTCGTCATTGAGTTTGTGCACGGGAACCTCAGCATAAATATAGTTGGCAGAGCCTGGAGGGTCAGCGAACGCAATAGTACGCGTTGTATTCGATTGGTCGCTTGCCATTCGCACTAATCTGTACTTCAAGTTGAGTGCTAGTAAACGCATTTATCATCAGACCTACCTATGCCTTTGATACTGAGCAGCAAACCCAGGAGGCGAACTACCGCCTCCAGTGGAGGCGCCCCGCCAAAAGATTTTGTCCTCCTTCATCTCCCAGGGGGTTTCCATATGATCCACCTCTTTGAGCGCCAGATTCACTGGGTCATAACCATAAGAGTACCGTCTAGTTTGTCCATAATAATAATGGCTGGGTATTCTAATATCGAGATATCCTGGGGCTTGCGCAGGGGAGAACATAGGAAAGAGCACAGGTATCGTGCGCCAGTCCGAGAAGAAATGTCCTTGGTTGTAGTGCGCCCATGGGTTTTGGCAGAATGAATAGTTCCCGCTCACGTCTGACACAAAGGAAACCTCCCGTGTTTGTGCAGCAAGATGGCTTGTCTGGTGGGTCGATGAGGCGCGGAATGCACTGAAGAGACGACGAGCAGGTGTTCCTGGGTCGCATGTTCGGCGATAGGCCTCCCAAACGTTACCCTCCCCTCGCCAGTCAGGAGAGTACATTCCACTGAGCTCTGCTTGCACTGAGGATAGAATTAATGACAAGCACACAAATGTGATTAACCGTCCGTCCTTACCTGCATCAGCTTGCCGAGTATAATTAGGAGACATCCGTTGTTCCCATGGAACGAGGATACGGCCCTCGGCCATCGCATTGATTGGAAAATCTAGGTCAGGAAGCTACGACTAAGGTACATACGTGTATTGTGCCACGCTAAGACAAATGCTCACTTTATCTCGAAATTTCTCAATCATCAGGAGAAACCCTCGGGCGCGCGCACTAACGCCATCGCCGTCGGACCCGTCTCGAATATTCACTGCAGTAGCTTTTCCATCCCTGATTCGTATCAGGTCGACATAGGGTAAATGTCCAGCCTAGAGCGAATTCAATGTCCATCTCCTATCTATTTTCCAAAACTGCACATACCAGCGCAGCCCGCTCTCGTAGATCCTCGCCAGACAGAGCCCAGAAGGGGGCGAGGTCCTCATTTATGTTGTTATATTCATCGACCATGACAACATTATTGTCTTTCACAAATTGCCACCAATCGTCAAATCCCCGAGGCGGATTCCGACCATACCTTCGCTTGTACTCTGCGACAGCCTCCGGAAGTGTTTTGCTTTGTCTTGATAACACGTTCCTGAACTTTATCTCAGCGTCCAGCATGAGCTTCGGAATGGGGTGTGCCTTCAACGCGACCCGACCATGGCCTCGGCGGAACGAAATGATGCTGGAGGCACTTGAAATGATAGAGCTGCCCTCTGGGAAGCTACTGCTTCTCCTTTTGTGCCCGGACCACAGGCCGCCTTGTATGAATGTGATCACTATCAGAAGGAGGAAGAGCAGTCCCGTTTTGTGCCCAGAGAAACCATTGTACATAGTCGTACGTGGAAGAAGTCTTTGGCACGGCCGTGGCGAGATAATGGCAACCGCGAGCAAACAATCAGAAGATAAATTGGAGGCTAGAACAATAAGAAACCCAGTAACGACTCCCTGAGAGCTTCGGTCATAGAGAGAGTCAAGAGAGTTGGCTAAAGGGAGATTCAGTGGCTGCAATAAACACTTCAGGGGCCCGCAATCGAGTAGTAAAATTAACCCAAAATGGACATTCAGGGGATTGAACCCTGGACCTCACGCAAATGACGTTGCGAAGCGTGCGCGCTACCACTGTGCCAAATGCCCACCATGGAACTACATTTACTATGCGCAAATGATAATTATGTAAAAGCCGTAGAGTACATTTACTCGACCTCTACTTTAACTTCACTCTGGTCTTATTGAGCCACTTTGCGTGAAATCTAAGTGTGAACCTATAAGAGCACTGAGGCTACATTGAAGCAACCATGTACTGCATACAGGCGTGTATAGCTCCACGATCAATACACCATTTAACAGTGCGTAATCTTTGCTTAGAATGACACAACCTTGAGATACAAGTGGCGATAATGCTGCAGTTACTTGCGGAACATAGTCGGGATGACTGGGCCTGGCGGCGGAGATCAGCGACGACATGTTCTGCGTGATGAAGATTGTAAGCTCTCGCCCTTCCCTTGGGATGCAGGGAACCGAAAATCTACACAGAATATGTATATGCCCAGGTATGGTGCCAGTGACTTTGCAAGCCCGGATGAGGCCACTGTTGTTCGTGAGGGCATTGCCATACTATATGCATATATTCAGTGTACGGACGCGTATATGGGTCGAAAACACAAGATGATATCAGATGGAGATTGGGGTTAAACCACACTGTAGCCTGAGATGTCTTTGCCAAGGGGTAAGTAAGGGTAGCAATATGGCGATGAATAGCTATATCAGCAGGGCAAGGGCGAAGCTGAACACGTACTACTGGAAAGGACGTCGTCGGCAAAACACCCTAAAGCTTATAGCCACGACCATGATACGGATATTAGGGATTGAAGGCTGAGGGAAATATTTGGTAATCTGCATGTAGAAGGCCTAGACCACCAATCATGCGCATTGCCCTACGCCGACTGTCGATAACCCAAGTCCAAGCGTTCGCGGTTGAAGTACATGGGAGACGCCGCAAGGAAGTATGATCGGCATAGCTGAAATATGGAAGCACGCAGGGCCCGCAAGTTTGTGCGGACGAGAATGCATCATCCTTTCATCTTTAGGCCTTAGACTCTGAAGACGCGACTTGAGGAGATCTGCCTGCCCAATGGCGGATTGCCCTTTGCAAACCAGCGTGGGTCCGATCAGTGGGCCTGTAAGTATGAGACTGCGTCTGAATCTAACACTCGGAGGAGGACAACTGGCCCTTGAGTCCACCAATTGGAACGGGCATATTAGAGCATTGAGGGACGCGGTATTTTTGGTCGACACATGAGTGGTGTGGTCACGTGTGCATACACTTAGCTCAGCACTCCATGCTCAAGTTCCGCGCCTGCCTTTCTTTATATCCGACTCCCTTCTCTGTATCTCTGTCCAATTCTTGCTATGGCCTCACCAACATCCCCCGCCCCCTCTGTCCCTCTTCCTGGCCGTCAAAATGGAGATTCAAGCGCAAAGCCACACGTATGGCCAATCACCCACACCGCAAGCGATGACGCATCCGCCATTGCCAAATGTGATAGACTCGACCGCGAGGGAGTGTGTTGCAAAGAGCTCGCAGGTGACGACGAGCGCACCTTGGTCGACCCGGATGTTGTCCGAGATGTGTAAGTCTTGTCATTATTGTACACCGCCACGCTGACACTGTTACTCCCGCTTACGCCTGTTTGTAGTGTCATCGGGCTGTCTGATGGTTTGACAGTCCCGTTTGCATTGACTGCCGGTCTATCGTCGCTTGGCGAGTCCAAGCTGGTCATTCTCGGTGGCATCGCAGAGCTCATTGCGGGGGCCATTTCAATGGGCATTGGCGGCTTCCTCGCGTCACAGGCGGAACGAGATCACTACCGATTCTTGCGAAAACAAACGCGCGCCCGAGTGCTCCGAAGCTGCGAAGGAGAGATGGAGCGCGAGGTGCACGCCGTTCTTGGGCCGATTGGTGTCGACGAGAAGACCAGTCGCTCTGTGGCACAATGCCTCATGAACGTTGAACTCGATTCGTCCGGAGACGGCGGCGCAAGTGCAAGCGGCAGCGATACGGCAAGCAGGGTTAGCAGAACAGATTCCGAAGCAGGGCTTCGGTGGAGCAATAGCGTTGGTCTATCGGCGTTTTTGGTCAAATTTGGAGAGGGCATGGAAGAAGTGCCCACACGCCGGCTGTATATTTCGGCGTTCACCATCGGCATGGGCTATCTTTTGGGAGGCTTAATTCCTCTTCTTCCATATTTCTTTGGTAGGTCTTCATTTCCATGGGTGCGTATCTATCGCTCACGATTTCATTAGAACCTATTGCCCACATTGCGCTTATATACTCTTGTCTTGTTACCGGATTCGTTCTACTCGTATTTGGAGCTGTCAAGGCACGTATCACAGGGGCAGCTGGGCATGGCGTTGGTGGCTACGTATGGGGTGCTGTAAGCACGCTCCTGGTCGGTGGTGCTGCCGCTGCCGCTGCATATGGAATTGTCGCCGCTCTAGAGTCATAGCAAGCCTGCACTCGGATGTTGACCTGCCCTATAGACTTCACCGGAGGGTATTGTACGCCTCGAGGAATCCTCGTTGCCCTAATTTACAGTAGTATGACATGTGTTCGCGGAACCCTTCTTTATATCAAATCATGAGACACAAATTGTATTGACCGCTAGCCTTCCAGCCGATATGGGCATTTGGCACAGTGGTAGCGCGCACGCTTCGCATAGTCATTTGCGTGAGGTCCAGGGTTCAATCCCCTGAATGTCCATTTTGCGTCACTTCGCGGCTTCAATTATGTTCGCCGAATTGTTACAGTACATAATAAAGATGCTTGAATTTAAGCAGCCAAATGACTTTTTGCGATAAATTTCAATGAGAGCGCTGTAGTTGAAGATAGAGAGTACGAGGAGGGTCGAGTCGATCGAGCCCAGTTTATCAGCCTGGCTGCACGACGGTGCACTGCGGCACAAGGATCTATTATCTGTTGAACGCGATTTGAACAGTGCATTTCTCCCGTGAGGACTGGGACATGAACTACTTTTAAGGATCGTTATGATATTTTAGATCATTATCAAGCTACCGATCACCGAGCTGCACGTACACTGCACCGATCCTTCGACCTTCAGACTTATTTGGCGATACTGCGATACCACTAGGTATAGAAAGATCTTGCCGATACGTGTTCTTCAGCAAGCAAAATGATAAACCATCGTGATCGTGAGCCATCGATTCAAGCTATCACAAATGGTACCACATAAATCTATAACGAAAAGGGACAACCGGAATGGACACGGTGGAAAGTAGTAGGCAGAGTACAGTACACGACAGGTGGCAATTAGCACATAGTTTACCAATGAATGATTAGGTATGAGTTTTCGCCAGCGGGGAATACTAAAATGACCTTGGGGTTCGAGGGACAAGCCACGCTCTCTTGGGGCGGCATTGACTTTCCTCCTTCTGCTGAAATATAAACGCGTACCAAGAAAGAGCGTCGAGTGCAGATGGTAACACCGAAGAGAATAATGGTGACGCGAATAATAAGATTGAACGCACGAATAAAGGAAGTAGGAAGCAGAGGGTAAAGGAGAGCGGCACTGTGATGGAAGGGCCGCGAGGCGGCTGAAGGAGAGTACCAGCAGTAGTTGGCTGAGGCTGTACTGTGAGGTTACATACACCCCTCACCGCGACACTGAAGCACATTTTGTATACCGAGTCACGACATAGCGCATGACAAGTAAAAGGCAACTCACGTTGTCCGCACCCGGTGCGCGTCTCTTCATGCATCCCTCCTCGCGGCACTATCATTAAGATAAGAGCGTGCTTTAGACACAAGAAAAAAAAACATACACTATCTGTGTCTGGAATGCGCTTCTTCATGCAACCCTCTTCACGGCACTGTCCATAAATGATATGTAAGAGACGAGTAGACGAGTAGATGTAGACAGAATATTACACTGTCAGTAGACAAGTCAGCGGGTGTGCGCCTGAAAATGCCTGCCATCACTTCGTCCAAGATTGATCTCCGCTTGGAAGACTACAATAGATGTCATTTACGCCAATTGTCTCATAGATGACCGCCACACGCACAGCTTGAGACATGAGTCGAGCTGATATCGATGTGTCGTCGACATTTTCAACATCCTGGGTAGATTTAATCCCAGTTGCCACTAGCAGAATGACGAGATGGCCTACAGAAAATAACAGCCTCATCTGCTCCGGGCATTTCATGATAAGGGACGCTATATCAATGGGGGGATCCATCACATTGAGAAGGGGTAATGATCCAGAGGACTACACACAACGTCAGAATACAGTGGCGAGCAGATTGAATTACGCGCACCGACTCGGCGGAGACAGAGGCATGGACGTAACACCATTGTTCAACCATTCCAGCGTTTGGGGAGACAACGATAGGCGCAGCACGTGCGAGGTTAACCGCTAGGAAGAGGTATGTTGAATAGTTGTGTAGTTGTGTAAGGAAACAATGTGACACTTACCTCCAACGAATAACGCGGATATGGCAAAAGTACGTGTCAAAATGAATGTCGCAACCATGATGTACGCAAGTATCGCGGGTGGGATAATGCTGCAGAGCAACTTTCAAGCCTTCAGAGGGAGTGGAATTCCGGAGCGATGGAAAGTGAATGCCAAAAAGCTGGAAAGCCAGACCCGGTCGCAGAGGCAAACGGAGAGCTTTATATTTCATATAAAAATGGGTCAAGACATTACGGGTTAGAGCACATCTATAGGGCACAGTCGTCACCACTCCTGGGGTTCCACCAACTGAGAGTGTGGCGAACCCCATCTAGGCACTCGTTTGTGCATCGACGTGGTATTTACGAGATCGTCAAACGTTCTAGTCGTGATTGAGACGGGGAAGTTGTGAAACCCGGTTCATGAGAGCTGATATCGCGCAACGCATTACAAGGACAACCATTTGGAGTGAGAAACTGCGTAGAACTTGGCTGCCTGTTCAGGACGTACGTTTGTATACGGTGGCGTTCGCCTGCTACTGGGCGCTTGCGAAGCCCTCATGCATCATGCGTGACACCTTGGGATTTCGAAGCTTGACACTCCACGGATCCAGCCGGTTGCCTTGTGCAAGGATTGATAGTAGATATCGTGGGGGCATTCCTCTCTGAACCTCAAAACGTATGGTGTGATACTGAAACTGCCGAGTTATGATGACCACCGCATGTATCTTGATCCAAACCCCTTGAACGCTCTCTGCGGCGAGTTCCAGTGACTAATCCAAGTACTGAAACTGAATCGTCTATCGAAAAAAGCATAGGTCTATGAAGGCAAGCTTAAAAATTAGCCCCCATCGTGGTAAGAACGGACTCTATCTTACCGGCTCCCCCTTTTGTACCCTTACCTTCTGATCAAGCTTCATCACTGTATGACCAGGTTAATATCCATCCACGCATTTGCCCGTCCGCATGTCATCCGGCCAACATGTGTTACCGGGCTCACGAACATGGCGCCAGGCGCGAGGGCAGAAGATGCTGGCTTGAAGATAGAATTGATCCGAGTAAAATGGGCCATCACGCTCACATCGTCCATCTGATCTTCGAATTTGACAGATTGCGCCCACATCCGTACAGATACAGCAGTGTCGTAATCCAGCATGATTAAAAGAAGTACACGGTAACAGAACAGCGTCTGAGGCGAATCGTCACGTTGCAAATATACCTATAATTCTAAATGCTGGGATGTTGCGGTCATCTTCCTCTCCCATAAGCTGACATTCGACGAAATGTGATCCTGATGTAACATGGCGGTCTATGACCTCCAATCTAATTACAAGGATAAGCGCGAGAGAAGCGCACGAATGTAATATCACGTACGCTGGTGTCAATTCTCCTACTTGAGCTGCATTCTCGATGACGACTGCACCCGCGTAGTTGTCGTCAACCCAGCATTCAACAGCGCTACCAAGCCCCACTCTACTACTAGGCTCCTTGACATAGTATATACCGACATCGCCACCGCTGACTTGAATGCTAACCCTGAGTTTACTCGTGGGCAAACTAGTATAAAAATAATGCGCGTGCGATGACAGGTCCGCCGAGCCTGGGCGAGGGTGGAAGGCTGCCCAACCAGATCCCTCAAACATTGACAGCGGCAATGGGTTGACCAAATCGTTGGCAGACACGCAATACGGAGCCACCTCAACGAACGGATGTGTCTCTAGGTCCGCCGGACGGGTGCTGATACGCACAGGGGGTACCCGCAGATTCTGGTGGAGTGAGGGAGCCTTTAGATTAGGCTCTAGGAAGGGTAAGGGATTCAAATTGACGTTGCTGCCACCGTCCGGATCGGTCCAGTCGTTCTCAGGCGCTGCTGCGCCCGCTGCACCTTTGCGTTGCGCCACACCTCCAAACAAGCCTCGCGCATCTGTAGGCTGCTTGACGTTGTTGTCAATAAATATGGGTGAAGAGAGCGAGGGCAACAGTTCGTGTGATGCGCCTGTCAGAGCGCCCCATGCAGCACAAACTTGCGACTGAAAGTAGGACACCAGAATGTCAGCGAGGACTTCGTGTCCCGCTACGTTAGCAAGAATTGGGTCGACAAAATAACGGTCTACCAATGATGGGTTCGTCATGTAATCAGGATAGAGGAGGGGTTTTATACTACATCGACTTTAGAGGTCACATAAACGAGGATGATAACCAGACACACCTGATGTGAGGTACATCGTAGAATTGCGCGACCAGGCTATGCCAGTGATCGGGTCCACTAAATCCATTAGCTTGGGCAGATTGTGGGCTGAAATGTCCAAGTATGAGGACAGCCGGTTGATCCGGGCGTAATAGTATAGATCGAATAAGTAGCTCAAACTCATCCATTGCGACTTGACCGCTATAGTATTCCGTGTAAGTGAGAGTAAATAAATGTTCACAGATTTTCTTGACGGACTCACTTTGCGTCATCAACGTCGAGCTCAATTATTACGAGGTCTGTGACGTCGGGTATATGATGGGCATTACAGAACGCGAAATATGCTGAATTTGTGCGTCGCATCGCGCCGTTGGTCAGCTCTGAGGCTGGATGGGGGAACACGCTGTTCCACCAATTGAAGAATCTTGAGGGATAGCAATGAGGCGATAATGGGTCATCGCCAGCTCCGTGGCAAGCAGACACTGAATGGTTGGTGAGATTGTGAATATCGAATAAAGAAACGAGAATGGAATCGGACCAAATGGTCATGGCATCAAAAAAGGAGACTCATTATGCAGACAATTTCCAGTTACGAAGTCAAAAGGAAATCTTCATCTTCAAGTAGTGTCCGATGCCCAAATGCAAAATGACACTATTTTATGAGATGCATGAAGCGAGTATGAGATCGATGGACAGTAGAAGGTATAGGACTTCTAGGACGACACTGAAAGACCATCAGACATTAGCTCACTGGGTTAACAAACCCAGTCAGCCGTATGCAAATAGAATCAAACGAGTGAACCAACACCCAGTCGTCGAGATTTCGTGTGGATGTTGAAAATGTTCACTTAACGAATGTTGGGTTATGGCAAGTCTAAAGCAAACAACTCACCTGAACCGCCGACAACACTGATCGTCACTGGTAGGCCTGACAGTGCCTTGCTGATGACGCGCTGAATCCGTGCCCCACTCCCAGTGTGAAACCTCGTCTTTGCAAGAGCAACTGGATCATATTTGGACGTCAGCTCGTCGCCAGGTCCAAGTGCAGGACAGAATGAGAACGGCATCAGATTTCCATCCGTGATATTGAGGTAGTTTTTCGGCTTCAGATCTAAGCTTAGAAGTCTATGCCGCGTGTTATTAACATCGGTGGGTAGTATTAAGCGAGTGAAGACGACAAGGGAGAGGAAAAACGCGAGAAGAAGCCATATTCGATTCGTGACACCGAGGCTCTTCTGGTTCAAGCGTGAGGACTTTTCTGAATCTGAGCCCATCCGAGTAGGTCCTAGGGGAGGAGATATATGTGCGTATGCTTTTCCAGAGCGCCGTTGCATACACGCGAACTCGTCGTCGCCAGGGCGGATAGAAGAGGAGGGAAGGTCGAAGTAGGAGGAAAGGAGGGGTGAGGATTGAAGGTGGCGGAAGCGGTGGCGGAACGCCCATCAAGCAGACAGCTCACTCCTTTCGCCATATTTGGTTACGGAAAATGACCTTTACCATCCACCCTCTTTGCCTCCACCTCCTAGATTGCTTCCGCTCTGATTTCCTTGCTGTGTTCCGAGATCGATTTCTCAGTTGATGCCCCTTTACGTTGTCTGTGAAGCTTTCAGGATTTAAGTGGAAGAGTTGGTTACGCGCAGAGTGATAGAGGGGTCTGACGAGTTCTTCGGTCATTGGGTTGGACTATCACGTCGCTCCTACTAGAAGAGTGTAAGTCTAGTTGACTTTACAAGTCCGTCTTCTTTGTTCTCGCTATATACACCGTTCACAGACGGAAGTTATGAAGCCAAAGAGCAACAATCCACTGAAGCGACTGCCCACATGGGTTTCCCTATCTCTCGGCGTTTTTCTCGGACTGTTCATCGCTAGGTTGTTCATGGCACAAGTAAGGAATATACTCTAAATGCGTTTCTGAAGCTCACAGGTTCTAGTCTGCCCATACCTCTTGGCGAGGAGCGCATAGTCCAGCAGCATACCACGCGGCCCGCATACGACAGCCCATTGCTTTGCCCACTCTTGAACAGCGTTTTCGCGTATTTGAGCTTCTTACTACACTCTCCCCGCACTACACGAAAGAATGCACACGGCATGCTCAGCCCATGTACAAAGAACAAGCGGAAGAGCGATATGCATCGCTCATCGGACACGAGTCCCCCTCACAAACATCCTGGCTTGACGCCCTTGGACTTGGAACTGGTCCAGAGGGCGATTTCATACCCCCTTCAAGACGCGGACTTCCACCAGACACGCACAAGTACTTCTTTGCCATCAATCTATACAATTCGTTCGATGTCATACCGGACTTATTCGCAACCCTCTTTCGCGTCGCCGCTATACTGGGTTATCACAATGTGTACGTGTCAATATACGAGAATGGGTCCACCGATCAGACGAAGGCGCTTTTGCGTATCTTTGACGCGCTCTGCCGCTCCGTGGGCATGCGCATTACAATCCGCACGTCGATGCGTACAAGAGGCGCGTTTAACCACCGTATTGAATACCTTGCAGAAGTGCGGAATGCAGCGTTCGTGCCGCTGCACGAGCTACGGGACGCGGAAAACGAATATTTCGACACAATCATCTTCATGAATGATGTCTTACCATGTGTAGACGACCTCCTGGAGCTCATCTGGCAGAGCCGGAGAAACAATGCAGGCATCACATGTGCGGCAGACTACATGTACCATGACGAACTCGTGCGTAACCTGCTACATTTTTCTACGTTACGCTCATCCGTTGTCCAGGGCTCGCCCGTCTTCTATGATAACTGGGTGGCCCGTGACATAAACGGGACTGCGCTGGAAAATGCGCCTTTTGAGTCGGTCTTTCATCATGGTGCCTCTCAAGACCGTTTCCAGCGGCATCTTCCAATCCAAGTGCAATCTTGCTGGAATGGTATCGCTATTCTTGATCCTGCGCCATTCTATACGCCACCGCATATACGCTTCCGTATGGCCCGCATAGTCGACGGAGAGTGTTCCGCATCTGAATGCAGTCTTATCTGCAACGACTATTGGGAGTCTGGCTACGGGCGGATTATAATGGTCCCCAGAGTCAAGCTAGCCTACGATTCGGTGGGTACCAATGGTAATTTACGTGTCATAAAGGTGTACGACTGACATAAATTACTCAAGAGGGTGTACAACATCATCCACCCGTCAAGGAGGAACCTGACTGCCATTAGGGGTTATGTTCGTCTAGGTGGTCTTCCAGACAACCCACGAACAGACCCCCAAGACCGGGCATGGTTCGGGCCTCATGACCGCCTGTTTACTGATGAAGAGAGTCTTCCATTGGATTTTGTCCCAGGACCCGAATACGGTATGTTCATTGCTGTAGATCGCTTGCTCTGAACAGAGTTAATATCGTCGTGAAATAGTGTGGTGCTGGGGATGGGACGGCGCAGGCGACCTCGACGGACCAGATGTAGATCCTATCTGGGAGCGAATGCCAAACAAGTCAATGAGTTCAGACGCGGTACGGGTCCGGCACGATCGCAACATGCATATGCTATGATCGAAAATACTTGGGATGTTGGACAATCTCATGCTCGGGAGCTGGGCACCATCACACACTTGTAGATTACATGTCGTATAATGATAATGCAGAAACTTCTCTGCGTAGAATGAGGTGAAGTAACTGCAAACTGGGCACCTTGTTCGACATACGATAAGGGAAAAAATGCATCTTAGAGCATACAAGGTTCTGGCATGACTGGCATAGTGATGGCTCCAGAAAAAACTGAAGCACGCACTTCCCGCGACTTACTGTCATCCCAAAATGTGATTACTGTCTACTCAGTGTCAACCACTACCGTCTCCAAACCCTTGAGAACAAAACTCAGTACGGCAAAAAAAAAATGTACAAGATGCAAACACACCTTGAACGAATCAACTTCGACATATGATGCATAGGTGTACAGCTTCTCCTTCGCGTTCTCCTCATCATTTCGCTTGCCTATAAAACCACCATCATTATGCAACACACTTATCATTCTAATGATATTACTAACGCTCCAGTCTCACACGTATTCTGTGAGGCACCGACTTGATCCCCCGCGCCCAGAGTGCCTGGTTCAGTTTTGGGTCGAGCCGCACGTCCCCAGTCCCCATCGCCTTTTGCGCGAAATCAACGACGGACTTGACAGCCCAAGGAGCGCGTTTCTTGAAAGAGCGGCCGTGCACGCGCTTGTGGAGGTGGATGGTGTAGTCGCGAGTTACAACATCTTGGAGGGCGGAGCGTGCCTTGCCGGACTAGGATGTGTGCGATAGGTTGGAGAACACCAAGCCAGCCATTTTGGACGGAGGAAAGATGAAGATAAATCAGGCCCACTCGATTATCAATTGAAGGCCTGGTCGCACCTTTTTTGTGGTCTTAGAGGGGGCCTAATCACAAATGTCGGTATGGACCTATGGGTACATAAAGGCAAAAAGACTCACCATGTCTTGAGGATGTCGAGGTCGATACGGGACTGGTAGCTACGGCGCTGTGAGCAGCGGATCAGCCACTTTGGCCGTATTTACACTCAGTGGCACAGGGAATAAGGTTTGGGTGGCTGGACGAAACTATACAGTTCGGGTGTGTCCGGGGCCACGAGGCACGAAGATCTATGCGTGTCCGAAATAGGTAGGAGTTGTGATTCCGCGGCGCCCGTTGCACAATGCGCGAATGGCCGACAATGGCAATCCCTTTCATGCCAACCTCTCACCTCGTCTAACAATGGATCTTGTTCTCCTCGCCTCCTGCACAATCAGAATCTACCCAGACGTTCCCGAGGTGTCTAGGCACTTTCAGACAAAATGCACCCGTTGGGATACAAACAAGTGGTCCAAACTGATCAAGTCCAAACACCAAATTTACACCCGACATCGTTCCAAGGCTAAGCGATTTTCCACTATATAAAGTCCTCGCTTGTGTAGTCTCCACAGCAACTCGTCTCTGGGTTTCTCTCTGTTCTCACTCAGCATAAGCAACCCTTGCTCTTGCACTCCTTCGACCTTCATTTGTCACTGCTCCGCTCTTTGCTCTCACACCCATTGTCAACATGCGTTTCGCGTTTGCAGTTGTAACTTTTCTCGGCGCTATCGCCTCCGCCTCTGCTGCAAGCCTCTCTCTTAGCAAGCGTCAATTCCCCAGTGCGTGCTGAGGAATACTGTACGGTATCGCCGTGGTGCTCACATTTGTTCAACTTCTCAGACTGTGCGGAGGAGTGCCTTGCATCTGCCAACCTTGATGGCTGCAACCCCGACGATGATACTTGTCTGTGCAACAGCACAGCCTTTGTCGATAGCGTCACGTCCTGCATCGAAAGCTCATGCACCGGCAGCCAGTTGACTGAGGCTGAACAGGATGCTCAACAGCTTTGCCTCGCCGTCGTCAGTATTCTGTGTTTCGCGGAGGGTTGAAATTTGAGATTCACTCATCTTTCCTCACCGACAGCAAGTTACGCTCACCGCTGCCTCTGGGAGTCCTACCTCCACTTCTTCCGGCAGTTCCTCGACTCCTACCAGCGCTACCACTACTTCGTCCGGCTCATCGTGAGTGCAATTGTCTAAGCATGTGAAACAAAACCCCTTATTGCCGCATTACCCATGCTCACAGTGCTTCTCAAACCAAGTCCAGTGGTGCTATCTCACACGGCATCAGTGCTCTGACAGGTCTTGCCGCCGTGTGCGCCATTGCATTCACCCTTTAGTCGTATACCCTTCAGCTGTCATTCTCTGCTTAGACAGAGTCCTTGTAACTTATCTTGCACGTGTTCGTGGTCTGTTTCACAAGCTTAGTGGTCATCAGTGGTCAAATTGTGGTTCAAACCGTTTGCGACCGTCTATCTCGTGGGTTTCGTTTGTGTTGTTGTAATTTACTGGTCTCCGCGACTCTGATACCGTAATTTGATTGTTCTGAGATCTTCCAATAGACTGTTGGCAAATCCACATTGGGGTGATGTCAGATCATGTCGCAATACTCTCGGCCTTGACAGTCCTTGATATTCCCGCTTATCGCTTCCAGTCCTCAAAGGGGATCATGAAATAGCCACATTCTTGTCCATTGGAAGCAACAGCCGCACACTAGTTCTGAGGCAGTACTGAGATAAAACAGTCTCAAAATGCACTCGCCTTGTAACTACTGAGACGACGGCATAGGGTAAGCACAAATGTTAACAGTTCAACACGTTCCAAAACAATATTTTGATTTTCTCAAGTATATAGCAATAACAGCACCTTCATAATATTACTACACTGAATTGCAGAGGCTACACGGGACTCAGAGCAGACAGACGTGAGAAAGATCAATGGTCCAATGTCCGAAAGCATGGAAAGATGATAAGAGCAATCGCCGCAACATAAGGCTCAGGGACCACCTTCTATTTCGACACTACACAAGCCCTTGATCTCTCTCTTCCGGGCGACTCACAGCCTCCACCGGCTCATCAAAGTCCGAGAATGGATTGGTCTTTGCTTGCTTGTCCTCTGCGTACTTGTCCATGTCATCTGCGGTATAGATCGGAGGCTTTGCTCCGCCGTACAGTGTGACACTGTCGTCATCGAAATCTGCGTCTGGTGGAGGACCGGCCGGCGGTGCATACTGAGACGGTGCGTCATATCCTAGATACGGGGGGTTGTAATGCGACGGATAGGCTTCTTCGTGTGGTTCTGAGCGAGGCACTCGTGACACATTGGCAACACTTTGGGGATCGAGAAGTTGGTGATAGTACGCAAATGCGATAGAACTGAAGAATACGGAGATGACTAGGTGTGGGATGAATCAGTAAGGACCACACTTGGACAAACCACAGTGGCCGCGTACAAATTTCAATAATCAACGAGATAATCTCCACGAAAGAATCGTGGCTCCAGTAATTATCACAATCTACGGAAAGCCAGTATCAAACAGTGAAAGTTGCCGGGACATCTCAGAAAGATATATGAAACGTACAAGATTGCGCTTCTGGCAGCGTCAGTTTGTCCTCGAATGTAGGGCCCCAAAACCCGTATTGCTGTGTAACCGGTCAGACCTGTTTCTTCAAACGAGACAGCAAACCCACATATACTACAACATCTCCTTGGGCAATTGAAACGCACTCGTTAATTAATTCTTGCTGCAGAACACATCATCAAACAGGATGCATCATACCAATACAAGACCAGACGTACTTTGAGCACAAAGTGAAGAATTACTCTCATCAAGCCGGTGCCGACCACCGACAAAGCACTGAGAACAGATAGAATTGCATATATTCGAACCATCCAAAGTCGTTGCTAGGAGAATTATACGGCATTGTCAGCGACTGGATACGGCGGAACAGAGGAAGTGAAGGCACGCACAAGAGCCGCAGAGACCAATCCGAATACCTCTATTCCGCAAATGCCGGAATATATCGCACCCAGCACAATAGCAAAGGTTGCGAGCTTCGATTGATGCTCTGTGTGGTCAACGTACGGTGTTAGAAGGTACGGATGCTGGAAGGGTGAAAAAGCACATACGATTACTATCCACATTAACGGCTCGGAAGCTGCTGATCTAGACACCCATGATTCAGCTGTCCACCATGAGACACGTCTCCGAGCAAATACATACAAGTCTGGAAAGTATCCTTTTAATACAGACTCAGAACAACGCGGGGCTCACTCACGAGATCAAACTCCATATTACTGAAAGCAGGGCGACTGGGGGTTTTCACGACGTCACTTAGCCCGAAATCTCTGGATGCAAAGGTAAAGTGGAGTGTCTTACCAACGGCAACGACTGGACGCAAGTTTGCATTATAAGCTCGTAGAATGAATCCCGTCCCTGTAAGCCGTGTGTGATACCAGTGAGTGTGGCCCGGCGAGTGCGAGAGAGAGTGCGTGCCTCTTGCCGGCGGAGGCCTTGAACTCATGTTGCAGAAACGTTACAGAACAGTAGACAGGTGTACACTAGGATGGGCAGCTGAGAGTCGTCAGTATTGTATATACTGCCCTGCGCAGGGGGAGGGCAATGAGTGTCCACGAATAGTTCAGGGCAGTGATGAGATGATTGCAGTCCGACGGCGTCAATGAGGCGTACGGCGTTGGGCGCAGGCGGACCGCACGATGGAGGCGAGGCTCGCACTTCAAGAACACAGAAACGTCGATGCACACAATGCACGCTGGGGTAGACTATGTTCCTAGTCCTACGTGAAAGCTTTAAACACCGACAATATAGTGATATTGCCGCAGCCACCACCATGGCAACGACAAGCTTGCACAACTTTCCGAGAGTCCGGGCTTCGAGTACTCACATACGTCGAACAGCATCTCACATGTGGTAGTTCGCGTTCATCTGCGCAGCACAGTGCATCGGATTACAGGTCTTAGCCAATGAGAATGGACGCCGCGGACAGCAAACTGGAGATAGTGAAGATAGAAGTAATGGACAGAGCCTCCTCAATCCATCAGGCCTATTCACAAACACACTAGAGAAGGACGAGTCGAGCAATGCATAGGCAAGACAATATGAGCAACAACAATCACAATTTGGTGAACGCAGATAAATGGACAATGTTGAATAAATGAGAGCCGGTTTAAGACGTTGGCGATAGGAACAGCGACGTGGTCTACTAGTATCTCTTTAAGACTTACACCCACAGTGTGATAGCCAAGGAACAGCCCGAGTACTGGTCGAATAAGGAGCACTGCACACGCCCACATTCGAGATGCCAGCGGTGGTCGCGCAACAGCCTACAGGTATAGCTGAGCCTATGTCAGAATTGGAGCAGCCTGTATGATCTGTTTGACTATCGAGAAGAAAAATGTGCAGTCAAAAGCTGCAAGTTGCAGCCAACCCAGTCCCCAAAATCTGGCGGGCCGAACAGGCAGAGTGACGCATTCTTCCCACGGGCGCTGAAGGATCCTTATGAGTTATGGCTCTCGGCAATTACCGGGGACTGTATAGCTCCTGCAAGCCACCCACACTCGATTTACCGCATAGGATACTATCGTCGGCGCGGGCCTCAGCAAGTTCAAGATCAAGGTATGCATGATTTATGCTGCATCCCTGTGAGACAAAGCGTCTGAATTCTGGAACTTACAGGCATCTCATCACCACAATCCCCTCCATGTGAGTTGTATCCCGATTTTTGAGACAAAGTAGTCGGGAGATTTGAGAGTACTGTCGATCACTGGCAGGGAGGGAACGTTAGATCTCAGGCCTTCTGTGAGAGTCCAGGTTCGAGTAATGCGCTGACTCTGCGTCTTTACAGTCCTACCAATGGCCCAACGAGTCACGCTCCGCAAACGCAACCCTTACAACACCACTTCCAATCGCAGACGTATTGTGAAGACGCCAGGTGGTAAGCTCGTCTACCATCACATCAAGAAGCTTGCTACCGCACCCAAGTGCGGAGACTGTGGCATTGCATTGCCTGGTGTATGTTCTCATGTTCCACAATTCATGGTGCCTACTTGACGCGACCGATTTCAGGTTGTTGCGCTGCGACCTCGCCAATACGCGGTTGTCTCGAGAACAAAAAAGACTGTCCGTAGGGCGTATGGTGGTTCGAGATGTGGAGATTGCGTGAAGCAACGGTAGGTGTACTCCCCTGCTCTCGTCGTCGGCGTCCCTTTATCTATGATATGTAGCATCCTCCGAGCATTCCTTGTTGAGGAGGCCAAGATTGTCAAGAAGGTGATCAAGTCACAGGAGAAGGGAGGCAGGAAGTAGAGTGACGGTATCAATTCCTTCACTTGGTAGTTCCTCGATTGCAGTGGGCTGTCCCTCAGTATTGCGATGATGTTCCATCCCTTTTGCGCCATGCACGCATGTATACTGCTTACACATGACCAACAAAACTATGACCGATGAGGTCGGTATGCGGTATTGGCTCAATCATGCCATCGTCGGAAGTCGTGCCTTGTGTCAATGAGTATCTGCTGGTTTATAATCTTCTCTAGGCCATCTGCCGGGCCTCGAGACGTGAAAATGGTCATCTTCACGAGTAGCGTTCGACGATCTCAGAGGTCTCTCATACTTGTGTGCAGACTTCAGTCTGGTCTGGAGCGTATCAACTCGGGTTCGCTGCAAGTATTCGTGGGATCAATGCCCACAACTTGAGTCATACGGTCGTCCGTAGCGAACGTGACGCTCGTCTTCTCCATAAGGATAATCTAGTTGTTCTCATAAGTAAGTTGTTCGCCATTAAAGTTGCGGTCACTAACAAGCATCAAGTCGGGCACAATCACATCCAAGTTATCGCCACCAACCTCGGACCTTAGACTGATAGAATAATGTCCAAACGTCTTTCCGCCACTGCCGACTACGAAGAACTGCTTGATAAGTACGACACATGGCTCTTTGACTGTGATGGTGTCCTCTGGCGAGGGGATCACTTGATCGACGGCGTGGTGGAAGTTTTAAGTCTACTTCGGGAACGTAGTATGTGTATTCACTCGATGTTCTCAATCTGGACAACGCATGATGCTCTTTCTGTTCGCGCTGTCTAGAAAAGAAGCTGTTTTTCGTGACGAACAATGCTACCAAATCACGGAAGAACTACAAGAAGAAATTTGACCAACTCGGCTTGAAAGTAGACGTTGTGTGTACCCAATACTCAATTCTGCGCAATTTCCGCCCTATCTGATTGAACTGAACGATCGTCCAGGATGAGGTCTTCGGATCTGCATATGCATCGGCGGTGTACATTTCGTCCGTCATGAAAATGCCGAAAACAAAGAAAGTATACGTGATCGGCATGAAGGGACTCGAGGAAGAACTAGACGAAGAGGGCATAGCACACCTCGGCGGTACCGTTAGTTGTATCCCACCGTCGCTCATCTTGTCGCACACGATTATCTGACAATCTGCGCAGGACCCAGCTGACAACACTCTTGCGGATTTCTCACTCAAGAACTTCCACCCCGACCCCAATGTGGGAGCGGTGGTGTGTGGCCTTGACACCTCCGTCAACTACACCAAACTCTCTAAGGCATTCGCGTACCTGCACCGTGACAAAGATTGCGCGTTTCTTGCGACCAACATTGACAGCACGTACCCAAGCGCTGAAGGCCTCCTCCCCGGGGCCGGATCTATCAGCGCACCGCTGGCATTCGCGTTAGGCCGTAAGCCCATCAGTATCGGAAAGCCGGCGGAGACGATGCTGGATTGTGTTCGAGCAAAGTAAGCCCGCCCTATTTGTGGATGGGAGGATTGCTGACCATTGTGGACGCCGCGGGTGCACTCAGATACCAGTATGACCCTGAGCGAACGATCATGGTAGGCGATCGTCTCAACACCGACATCGAATTCGGCAAGCGGGGTGGTCTTGCGACCTTGCTTGTACTCACAGGTACGGTCCCGGGTATCCTGAAGCGTCACAACATGGTTCACATGTCCGACCAACAGGAATCACGCATGAGTCTGAGGTAGTTGGACCGAACGCCTCCACAACGGTCCCTGACTTCTTTACGAATTCCATCGGAGACGTGCGCGCAGTGTTGTCATGAGACACGGATCCGGATGAAAGTGAAGGATTGTCGCACGACATAGATGATAAGATGTATGGATAGACTCAAGGAATAGAAGCACAGGACCAAGACAGCGGCTACCTCTGACGGGATTTAGACTCCTTCTTTGCAGGAGTTTGAGCCGATAATAAGTCTGCTAATGCAAGATGGGTGATCCCGCTGACGGAGACGGCCACCAAAGAACCCAAAATGTAACCGGATATAGCCCCATATGCGGGGGTGAGCGGCCATGCCTATTTAGAGAGGCCGATCAGAGTCGTGCTCAGCTCCTGCCCAGCGGACGTAAAATATTAGTAACTGACCTGCCATGGACGATCCCAGTCAAGGGCAATAGGGATTGCACCTGACCAACACCCGAACAAAGAGCCGATCGCGGGGTAAACTATGGCTCTTTCGATAGCACCGCGCGGCCTGAATGATAGCAGTGTGAATGCAGCGCTCACAGCCGCCGAAGCTCGTCATGAGGAGCAAGACGTGAAAAACGTACCGCAATTCAGCGAAGAGCCGGATCCAAGTCAACCTAATCACTAGAGCTTCTGTGCTAGTTCCGAGGGAAGGCGGCCCGTACACATATGCAGGCGTCCACGCGGTGAGAAGCGCCAGAAGTAAAGCGAGGGAATAGGTCTGCACGGGGTGGCTGAAATGTCCCGGTGGTCAGCGGGGCTCGGCGAGCGGGAACTCGGAATGGTCTAACCTCGCCATCGGTGCGCCGAACAGCACGATCAAGATGTGAAAAGCGACCGACGCTACTAGCGTGGTGAGAGATGCATTTTTGAGTGTCTAAACGGCCAGGACCGAGGGCGTGAAGGAGTCAGTAGCGCTCGGCGTACATATTCTATCAGCAACACACCTCCAGCTGTCGGCGACCCGAAGCACGTTTATCAAGCTTCTGTTTAGGTTTCTCGGCTGCGTCTGTGACGCCTCTCTTCTGCATCCGGGACTCGAGTAACCATTCCTGCAGACAGCTGGCCCACCAAGCCTGCAGGACTGCCGCGCCTACACATGTCCATAACACCGTCCGCACGGGACTGCGGGTCAGCAAAGAGAGAGTGCCCTGTAGCGAAAAATCCGCAGGTTCGGCGTTCTGATGCCAGGACGGGGCAAAGTGGGCCACAAACGAGGGTGAGGTGCGGGGGAGAACGAGAGCGGTAAAGGCCAGCAAACACGCGTGCACGCCAGTCGCGGAGATGTAGCGTGCAAAAGGAAAGAATTCGTCGGGGCTGGATGCCTGTGTTTGCACGGGAGGGCTGGATTTAGCCGGGGTAGCTTTGGTGGTCTTGCGATTGCGCAGGTCGCGGGACACAGGCATGAGTGATCTAGAGAAACAAGCAAGAGTGAGATCGGTCACGCGCTCAGCTTCGAATGCGCGCGCGCGACTCGACTCGACTCGGCTCGACTCGACAAAATCTCGTTCCTTCACAATTGTTTCTATGGCGGCTCTGGTTCGTCAATGCACGAGGAGAATGACCGCATATGGTGACATGTTCATAGCTGGTCATAATTGCTCAGGATTGTTCCGTGAACCACTGCAAATTGGGTGTATCAAGTATCCCTCGGAGCTCTGGGTGGCACCCCCTGGCAGGCTGTAATTCCAAGCACACTCTTTGCTCTGCAGAAGCTCGGAAACGCTCAATAATTTTGTTCGGAGGGTACGTAAAAATACAGTTTGATGCGCAATGGTACCGAAGGCTCTCCACTACCCATACTGTACAGCAGACCCTCCTAGTCGAAGCGGAGGACATATTCTCTTCAATTTTCGCTCTTGCAGGCTTCGGATGTCCATATCCAACAGGTCCTCCGTTTTCTTGCCTGTCAGCTCAGTCTGGGCGGCCTTCATTCGCGGGACTGCATTTCCCATCATGGGTTCTATGCTCATATCTCGTCATTTACGCTCATAAGCAGATCTTCGCCACTGTGCGAAACAATAGCGGGTGACGTCGAAGGCCAACTTGCAATTTCAGGTCCTGCTACCTCGCCGCGATGATCGCACTCTTCTTTGGTGAGTGTGTTGCCACTACCATGTCGCGCTACGCACCACGACGCGGGCTGTGTGTTGCCTAGTGCCACCGCGTCTGACCGTTTTTTTTTTGCCAGCATAGTTGCCGAGAACGTGTGTCGTGGGGTGACAAATGGAGGAATAGGCACCCTGCCCGCAGCTTGCCGCTGTTGACAACCAGCCTAGTGCGTGTATGGGCATCCTGCCCACGGAGCGCTCCGTCATACCGCTAGCCTCCACGATGCGAACGCATGGTGTCTGCGGACCTCGGGAGATCATCATATCGCTGCAAGCTATCTTGCCTCCAGCGGATTAGCAGTTTGTCTGCTTGTTGCTGACCCACCGTCCTCCCGTGATCATCGTCCTGCTTACACAGAAACTAATTTGGGGCGTTCGAGCCGCGCATTCGCCGTCATATAACTACGCGGCCCTGATAGGTCAGTAGATTGACAGCTCGTCGAGCGCGCTATTGCGGCTAACAAAGTGAATGCCAGCGAAAAATTCTCGCATTTGCCAAACACGACGTTCCCATACATTCAACAGAAGACGGGTCACTAGACCGCCCCAGCGCATAGTTTGCGGTTTACGTCGCTTCTTCGTGCCTCCCCTTTGCAATGCGGCACACTCGTTCCATCGACTTCTTCCCGGCCGTTCTCAGCGGAAGGCCGTAGCGCCAGACTTTCCCCTTGAGACGGTCGGGGCTCGTGTCGGTCATCGGGCGAAAAATGAATGTGCTCGGTACATCCGTCGGAAACAGACTGTGATCCTGGAAGGTCCTGCGCGGGCCGCGGGGGGACCGCCAACTGCGACCAAATTAACCGGAACCCGAGATGCCTCGTCCGAGGATTGTATTCATTTCTTGCCTGTCTGGGCTCCCCGCCGGCCGCGTCATCCACACACATGTCGTCGAGCACCCGTTGCGCATCATCTATATACAGATCCATAAGCTTGTTGACGTCAAGACTCTGGACGAAAATCCGATATTCCAACTCCTCATACACCGTTTTCTTGGTGGCTTCTAGATCGCAGATCATGGCGCGCAGGCCGATGCTCAGTGTAGACTGGGCGAGGAACTGATCTCGAGGTCCAAGCGCGGCAAGAAAATTCTGGCTGTTCTGTGAGAGGTAAGTGGTCGGGTATTGTGCCAGCCGTGCTCGCCGCATCACATCTGACGACCGATCTGGAGGCGGTAGGATCGTTGTCTTTTGGGACCTCACTTGCATGTACTGTCTCTGCCTCAGTGCGAGGCCGTCGATGCCGTGCAGCATGGGGATCTCATCTAGCTGTGGAAATAATTCGAGGGTGAGTGCTCGCTCGTCATGTCTCGCGACACGCACGATTGCATCCGTTACAAAAAGCTTGGCGGACACTTTGTGCCGCAGACGAAGCGCCGCTGTGATTCGAATGGCCTTTGTTGCGGCGTCGCGTGCGTGCTGCACGGGATCTCCGTCCGAGTGGCTCGTGTCGAGAGCGATGAGAGCCTGGTAAGCACCCGCGAGCTGGCATCCTGTCATCGCCGCGAGTCCCGCAAACGCGAAAGAACGCTCACGATTTCGTGTGTAAAGCTGAGAGCGCTGGGGCCAGCCTCCAGGCAGACAGATGCGTGCGTGAGGCCTGACACGAGGATCAGATTGGTGTTGATCAAGTGGTCGGTCTCGAGCTGTCTGGCTGCACGGATGCCGTCATCCGTGGACGGTATCTGAGGCACGAATCAAACTTGTCGCCGGGATGGCTCATGGCTGCGCCTGACGCACCGATACGATGACGCTGCTGCGGTCGACGCCATGTTTCTCGAAGAGGCCGAGCAGCCTGGCCGCCTGTGCGACGATGGCTTCGCGGTCGTTGTGGAAGTCTGGGTCGACAAACGTGTGGTGTGGTCCTGGGACGCTGTCCATCATGCAAAGACCCAGCTCCACGCGCTGCGTGCGGCAATCTCAGCGCCGGGACGGGACGGTGGATGAGAAGCACGGACGGTACGCACATATCGCTCCATGGCCATATCCAGCAGGCGGTTGACATCATTGCTCTCGGGGCTAAAAATGGCACGAGGTTCAGTTGTGCAGGGGTGCGTGTGAGAAGTTGCGGGGAAGCGCACTGCTCGGTCAGGGCATGTTGCACGGAGGCCCATATGTGGTACTGCGTTGTACAGAGCTTGGTTCCTCGGTAGAGCAGAAAGGGATTGAGGAGGGTGCCGTCAAAGGGCGGGGAGGCGAGAGCTGTGGTGGCAGGTCAGCGCTGTTCCTGGGGCAGGCAGGGTGGGGCCGTACTATCAAAGTCGATGGTCTGCGCCACGACGGAAATAGCGGCTTGGGCGAGGGCGTGCAGGAACGGTTGGCCCCCGCCGAGTCCGGTCGCAGCGCAGCCGGACTGCTCGGCCTTCGCAGGTGGTTGACGCGACGTCGACTCCCCGCGCCTGCCGGCGAGCGATCTCATCGACGACGACGCGCGCTGGGGCGGGGGCGGCTGCGGTGCCACTCGAGTCGGTGTCGGGATGTGCTTTTGCGGCTCTTTGCAGGCCTCGGCGAGCGCGGGATTCCGCTCCGTCTCTTCGACTGCGGTCGGGGCGTCGCTCGTTGAGCGCCTTTTCTGTGACGGGGACATGGCTCTGGCACGATGAACGGACAGAAACAAAAAAAAGGAGGTTCTAAATGGCTGGTGCACGCGTTTGTGGCAGGTCTTTGTCCTGTGTGGCGGTCTCACTTGGGCCGGTTCGTTCATTGTAAATTGCCGGGGCCCACAATGGAACGCCTGCGCTTGGATTGCAGTCCAGAGGTGGCATTCCGACTGCGGCAGGGCGTGGACGATAAGATGCGGGCGTGCGCGATGGACTAGCAAAATATGGCTACGGCGAGGCAGGAATGGAGACAGCACCCGGGCAGGCGATGACGCCCGTGGGCTCGAGGGAATTGGAAATGGAAATGGATAATGGAAATGGGAGCCAGGGGGAGGTGGCGGGAGATCAAGCGGGAGCAAACACTTGTCAGCGAGGCGGATCGATCAGCCTTGGTGTGTGTGGCGCGCGAGGCTGGGAGTGGCAGCCGCGAGCGTGCCCAGGTCGGCCGGCCGCCCTCCGCTACGTC